TCTTGCTTCTGACTCCCCGGAAGAAGTTCCCACTCGTCGCAGACACTATTTTTATCCTGTTATGACTCTCCAATCTGTCTACAGTTTCCCCGCGATATCCAATGATCTTCCGAGTCTCAGCATCAGGAACCAGAATCTTAATCTCATATACATCCGGGTCCCCAACACCACCAGCAGCCGATCCGCGACCGCCTCCCGCCGGCCTGCTCACGATCGATTCCCTTCTGTCAATAGGAGAAGGAGGTGGTGGGCCCATCCTCTCATTATGCCGCGCCCAGCTAGAAGGTGCCGACCTATCGCTGCGGTAGTAGGTCATTTAAACCTCAACTACTCCTATTTGTCAAACACTAATAACACAGAACATGAGCAGTCAATAATGAAGCGGGACGAGTCACGACGCCGGTGTGCCCTCTCTAGCCGAGGAAGTTCACACAGCTGAAAAAAAGAACCTGAGGGGAGACGATTCGTCAATGGTGTGGTATGGCCACGTACCCCCGCACAAACAAGGTAGTCCGCATAGGCCCTCTCTGGCCCGACCTCTTTGAAGGTGTCTTGACCACTGGTCAGCTGTATACGATAACAACCTAAGCCCGCCGGTATGGAGGGATATGCACATGGTCAACTACATGTGTCAGTGATGACGATATGCGATATACGATTTGGAGGGAATTTTCAGAACTTTTCTATCTTCCGAAAATTTCTACCCTAATTGGTGAGGAAACTCCCCAGCTCAGCTGAGCGAGTCCAACACTGAAGTCCGTCACACTTACAGGTGAGCACAGCAGTTCCCATTGTGGCCCACAGACCAGAAAGGAAGGAGTTGTAGGGAAAGGTTCCGACAACCCACATATAGGCAAACTGAACGACCGAGAGGTAAGCCAGAAATCTAACACGGAAAGTGACAGAGGCCGAATCATAGCCGCTGCGCTACACAATGAACAAGTCGAGGATCTTGATCTTCTGTGGAGTCATGCCGTTGTACCTACGGGCCACCTACAGGCACCATGGCAGACCAGGCCCTGCTTACTTCTCCCAACCTTCCTCTAGCATAACACGGATATCAGCGACTAGCATTGTGGAGGAGTCAGAGAAAAACTGCAAGTACCCACAGCCTCCTCCCTTATAACGCATCAACCAGCAACAAACCGAAACCGATGGGCCAGCAGCATTTTGAGCAGTTATCGAGATACTCCCTCCTCCACCTCAAAACCCAAGTCCGTCTCATGAAGACTTCCATAGACTTGCTGGGCCCCTCCCTGCTCACGCTGTACTGTGTTTCCCTCAACGTCGTATTCTCCACCATACCAAGTTCCAACCAAACTTCTGAATCGATCATCGTGGCGAGCGCTATTTACAAACGATAGTGTATCCATGATGAACCCCTTACAAGGCAATATACTCTCACTCTCGGATTCGATTCTACGAGGAGTCGCTCTCCAGAGATGCTTACAGCCCTTCATCGCAGTCTCGAAGGTTTGCCCCCTTCTCATCCCGCTTCACCTGTCCTTCACTCCTACAGGGCTTAAGCAAGGGCCCCGGGTGAGCGAAATTGAGTTCTTCCCGACTCGGCTGTGATTCCTCCACACACTGTGGCATCACTGCAGTCTCAACCGGTACCCGACCACATAGCTGTATAGAAACAAACTCTAGAGAGAAATCTTAGTACTCTTCGAAAGTGTTGAAAACACAATATCAAAATAGATTTCCAAGAAACGTTCTCGGAAAATGTGATGAACAGCGAGTTCTTAACAGCAAGAAAGGTAAACGAATCAATAATGAAGTCAGAACAATCTAATTCATCAGTGGCTGGTGGCATCGACCACAAGGGAATACGGCATCGGCCTACAAAGGGAACAAGGCGCCTTATCCACTCGAGAATGCCTACGATCAAGATGTAAGAATGTCGCACACACTCGTTGATACCAGAATTCTCCCCCTTTTACAGCAGGGCCTCTCACCTCGGCTGCTCCAGTCAAGGCAGTCTGGCCGATTGGAACTCCGGTGTGGTCTCCGCACTACTCGGGGACCCATCCTTGGCTACGAGGAGTTTCTTCTCCTCAATGAGGGACCATTCACTCGCGTTCTGAGCCGTCAACTGTATACCAAGACCACGTCGTTCGAACAGTCCACACACAGCCTCGGTCATCGTGTGCACTTCAGATCGACTACGAGAAATACAATAACCCCGGCCAGTTCAGGAATATATATGTTTGCTCTCCTCAGCTGAGCTCAAGAGTTTCCTCGCTAATTATACAAGTCTTTTGAGTAAAAGTTCATTATAAAGTTTCTATTGGTTTTTGTTCACTCCTACCCAAATTCATATATAAACAATTTATACATGAATTCAAATAGGAGTATTGAAAAACCAATAATAATTTCCCAGAATTTTCATATTGTCACCAACACACACTGACCAAAGCCTACTTTTCCTCTAATTCAGCGAGCGCCCTCTGCGTCATCCGCATCAGTTTAGTCATCCTAGTTCCACTCAGCTTCACATCCTGCTCCGTCAGCGTACTCCTATCAACAGCGCGAATATCCCCATCATGCTCCTTGTCCTCTATCAACACCTAACACGAGTCTCCCCAAGGGTCATCAGCTCCTACCATCCCTCTACCAAATCGTTGAGCAGTTCCCGATCGACCTGTTTGGTGTCGTGACCGCCATGCTCGCGTCCATCTGAAGTACTTTTCCCATCAACAACCCCACGAGGTTCGACCTCACCTGCAGAGCCCTGAGCCAACTGAGTGGCCACCCACCAACTGTCCCGTACGAAGACCAAGGGAGCCAGAACGATGAAAACCAGGAACTCGAATATTCCCGCTACCACACCTGATCAACTGCATCTTCATAATGAGCTCAACCAGACACCCTACCAATAAGGAACCCGTAGACCCCTCCAGTGTGGCCTCCCTGGATCATGCTCTTGAACAGCGTAGCAGCAGAATTTAGTGCTTGCACCTGAATCCAGCACACTCGGGGGAGTGCGAGGCTAGAGTGCCTTACGAAGTGAACATAGAGTATGCCTCCACGAGTTCTTCCCCAATCAGCTGTCCTTAATGGAGTAACCAACACCCCCTGGGATTCTGATAATGCGACGGCACATACGGGGCCTAATAGCAATAAGGTGTACCACTACTGATGATGATGTGGTATTGTTATGGTACATAGTCCAACATCCCTCAGTGTATCATGATACTCAGCAGCTCTTGGCCGATATGATGTACCATAATCATCTTCCCATCGACCCATCACTCTACATAACTCACAAGTGACCAATTCCAATGGTAATTGTCGTTGGAAACCCAACGCGCCTTCATGAGCACCCATACCATGCTTACGCTCCTCCTACAACAACAACTATCCTTATCGCGACAAGCAACATCACTGGCCCCACCAAGAAGCCTTTCTGTAAGATCCTTGCAGCGTCTCTGGCCTCCTCAGTCATGCAGAACTTCATAGCGTCTCCTATGGTCTCAGAATCGACATTCCCCTTGTGGATGGAGCACCCCGCTCCGTGGAGCTGGACCAGTCCACCTAGTACACGGATAGATGGGGGAGAGAGCAGCAGAGACTTACCCCAGATCCATTGGTCCCCAAAGAAGGATATAACAGAGGTTGGCAGGCCAAAGTCCAATCCCATAGCGGTAGTACCGGCACCACCATGATGCATAACAGCACAGCATTTGGGGAAGAGGTAAGTGTGTGGTATGGCTACAATGGAGGAGGAGATCATCGATGGACTACTAATACTCTTATTGTTATTGACGTACATGAAAGGAAAGCTATGTTATCTCGGCCTAGGGCTTTGAGTATATCATATTCCCAGGTACCCTCGGCATACTCTATTGATGATGAGTCCACACAGTCATCACAGAATAGGCCGTCACTACTGAGAACAATACATCAGCAGAGCCGATCCAAGACATCAACAACTCCCCTACTGTGAACGAGCTTCGGGCTTCTTACCACACTTCGGGCAAATCGCAGGAGGAGTACAAATGAAGAATACTCGATCCTTCAAGTCTGATAGAATTGGAATAAGAGAGTAAAGCCTTTGAGATGATGTAAGTCACTTGGGATGTGAATGAAGTCCTCAGCGGTTATGTCCTTAAGAGTCCCCCATCCCTTCTGGAGGACAACTCTGAGATCGGGGATATCCTTTATTGCCTCTAGGATGGGTTTGTATCTGATTTGGGCACCTAACGCGTCACTGCGCCACGAAATTGCTCCTCACATATCCGACAGATCCCCAGCTATGCTGCCAAAACCGACATAGAACGGCTTGCATCCCCTGCTAAGGAACTGAGCCAGCGTAGCGGGAGGCTCATAGGTCGTATTCTCTCCCACTAACATATAAGCATGAATAACCACCCCAAGGTAAACTACTTACGAGACCCCACGCAGAAGCCAGTTATGTCGAGGTTCGGGCCCCAGTCCGGGGGCTTCGGGAAAAGACTCGGTGAGAACGAATACGAGAAGGGAACCTGAAGGACCAAACTCGGTAGTTGACACACCATAGGAGCGGCATCACCACAGCACTAGTCTGATTGGTATTCCCGAGTTGATCGTAGTGAATTTATAGGCTTCTCATATGAATATTCATATATAGAGCCTTCCAAAAAAGTTCCTAGCCAGACCTGTTTTCATAGCACTTGTTATATTTATATTCATCTTATAGGCTCAGGAAAGTTAGCAAACGATCTGCATTTTCACCAAGTCTGTTTGACAAAAAAAACGGCTCATGAAAACTCGGATGGTACTGAGCAACACAATGATTTCCATAAATCACTATCTTCTGTGAAGACGCTTACCCCCCAATCCTCCAATAAAGACCCAGCGCTGTGCCACATGCCTATCTTAGGAATCTTCAACACCTCTCGTCGGAACTGGGGCACTGTCGATGCCAGGCCTCTCCACTGCATCTAATACGAAGTTCATACCACTCGGTTAGTAATTATGAGAAAGACTTTCCAGTGCGAGAGTATATGCACATGGTCAACTACATGCATTGGTAACAACATGGAACTCTTGGGAAATTATCGTTGGTTTTTGTTTACTTCTATCCAAAATCATATGTGAATTTTCATAGTTTTGGTAGCGATATCGAAATCCCGAGAAAATTTCGGGGAATCATCGTTGATTTTCGTATACTTCTACCCAACATCGTGCGTGGATTTCCATAATGTAGTGAGGAACCTTACGAGCTCAGTTAAAGAGACCTAACCTATATTCCCACACTGTCGAGAGCAGCAGAACGCAGAAGCAGTGTGGTTGGCGGACCAAGCTAATGCACTACTGTTCGTAGCCGCCCCTTTCCTAAGGCTGGTTGGGCATAAGGATATTGTAAGACTTTATGCTCTGGTCCAACATGAAAAGGGGGGTGACTCGGTGAGTCAACAGTTTCGATTTCGCCGAGAGCAATATCCTTACTTGATCAAACCAGCGGTAGCTCAAGAGTCGCCAATAAGGATTGTCGTATATGTCACCCGAGCTGAAAGGATGTCCCAACACTTTCGTCTGGGACCAGGGCATCGAGAAATACCTGCAGTGGAACTCAACGATACTTTTGAAGACTCTCAAAATGAGCGCAAATGCAGAAAGGATGAAATAGTTGCCGCAGATAAAAGGGAGGCAAGGAAAAGTCAAGTACAGTACGCGCAATCTGAAAACCCAATTTAGCGTGGCAGCAGCCCCAACTCCTCAACTACTGCTAATATCAACGTGGAATTTTGTATAGGAACTGTGTGTAGCGAGATGGGAACTAATACCGTCCACCCTCCCACATCAGGAAGCCAACACAACCTACATATGAAGGGGAACTCCAAGTCTCTCAGCCAGATGGACGTGAATATATGATGGCGGATTAGCGATCATAGCATGGGTAACCCAACGCTCCTCGCGATTACCTACGACCATGACAGCTCCGTCAAGTCCCCAACAATACGCTTACTCTTCACAGCTGCCCAGGCCCCGACCTTGTCGGTTTGCCACCCTGGGGGGAAGAAGATTTCCCTCAAGGATTCCATCATACCAGGAGTATGTAGCAGGATGTACCACATATCCCGGGGCGTGAAAAGGAACTTGGGGCTCCATGAGGGGCTCTCGGCTGCGTGCCTGTTAGCAAGTGTGGTCACCAATTGCGAACGTAAGTGGGGAATTCACCTCATGAAATCCTCAGGTTGCCAATGGCCAGGGGCATCAAGGGCCATTGGGAAGAACTCTATTCCTTTTCTCTCAACCATATCTCGGAACTTATCATGAGTGCAGATACGACAATGATGGCCCATCGCGTTGAGCTCCTATAAGGGAGGGGGTTGTTATGGATATGATAATGTTATTATTATTATTCACCTTTGAAATGGCGATGTACGGCTCAACATCCCCACGGCTACCAACATCGATTAATGTTATGTTCATCCTAGGGATATTATTACCCTCCGGTCGAGGGAACATCATCATCACCTTATTAAAGAATAATAATAGTACGACAACGACTGCGGAAGAGGATGGGGTAGTACCAAATCGGGACGACGACACACAATACCGTTAATGACAACTTCAAGACGATGCATTCTGGTCTCAATGACCCCTTCACCAGCGTGATCGAGATTGTCAAAACTCAGACATATAAACCTGCCATTCATGATGACCTACACATACCCTTTCACCAGACCTACTGTTGCCATTCCTCAGGATGCTCCTTCGCGTCACGAGTGAGCAGATCCCGAAGTCTTCTTGTAGACTGCAACGAAAGATAGGAATCTGCCAAAGTGTGGCCTCAACAACAACAACCAGTGTATCGGAGATTCAACCCACCTTTATTATGATGAACTCGGAAATAGTACATAGTTTTAGTACTAAATTCAGTAGCACATCCTTCTACCGATACATACGTATCCGGTGAAGTTGGTACTTTATCACGAGAGATGGCCCATAGGAGACGCCAATGACTTTCCAGATTTATGGTATATAAGAAAGCTGAAGAGGAGGAGAGGCAGATAGTGGGAGGAGGAGGAGGGAGGATGACAACAACAGGCAACTTACCGACTGCTATCACTATGATGAAGTTAATCAAATCGGCCATGGACAGTAGTACGGATGAATTCTCCAACCAGAATAGGGAACTGGACATTGTAATCAGCCACA